CATGGTCAGGTGTTGGTGATGTCATGGTCAGGTTGGTGATGTCATGGTCAGGTTGGTGATGCCATGGTTAGATGTTGGTGATATCATGGTCAGGTGTTGGTGATGTCATGGTTATGTGTTAGTGATGTCATGGTCGGGTGTTGGTGATGTCATGGTTAGGTGCTGGGCTGCAATCTGAAGTCAGTAGGTGTCCACCAGCCGCTTCATGGGAGAATGCTGGGGCTTTCTACTTCCAAAAAGAGTTCTGAGATCGGAAACTCACAGGGGCCATTCTCCCCTGTCCTGGAGGGTCACTATGAGTCGGCATCAACTCGATGGCAGGAGTGATCGGACTTCATGGGAGCAGGTCTTGGGAAAACACCCTGAAAAAGCAAACCAATGCCGAACCCCCTACACGAGAGGTCCCGCAACGGTGCTCAAGAGCCATCCATGACTCTTTTGGTCCATCCATGTGTAAAATGAAGTAAAATTCAAAAATTTTCAAGGATATTATTGAGGTCATGGTAATTTCATGTGTTGGTAAATATAAATGTATGGTTCCTGAATAAATATTAAATTGTCGTAAGGGACAGGATTACCTCCTCCATCTCAAAAGTTTGCTGGCCCCTGAGGTCGTGAGTTATGTGTTGGGCAGCTTACTAGAAGGTCAGTAGTTTGAAACCATCAGCCACTTCTCAAGAGAAAGATGAGGCTTTCTACTCCCACAAAGATTTACAGACTCTGAAAACCAGAGAGGCAGTTCTACTCTGGCCTGGAGGGTCTCTGTGAGTCAGAATCCACTTCATGGCACTGAGTGTTTGTTTGTTTGTTTGTTTGTTTGTTTTAATGGTACTCTGAAAAGACTTGTCTCTGAAAAGTGGTCAATTTTTGCAAATGGCATGTGGCCTTGGACCTCTATCATATTAATTTAGGTGGTCCCAGGCAAGGTATTTAACTCCTTTGATTTCTAGTACCCTTATCTCATGGGGACCTGGTAGCACAGTGGGTGATGTGCTAACTGAAAGGTCGGCAGTTCAAACCCACCAGCTACTCTGCAGGCGAAAGATGGGATGGTCTGCTTCCATCAAGCATGACAGCTTGGAGACCCAATGGAGCTGACCTAGTCTATGCTACAGGATCTCTGAGCTAGCATCAGCTTGACGGCAGCGGCTTTTTACATTTTTAATTCCTTACTGACATGGTGGGGGCGGGGAGACCTCCTTTGTCAGGCCGGGCACCGGTGGCACCTCCAGGCGGGCTCTGTCGTTGATCTCTGCGCCCCGTGTGTTTGTCTCGCTGGCAGTGAAGCCGGAAGTCAAGTACGTGGGCAACATGCACGGCGACGAGGCGCTGGGCCGCGAGCTGCTGCTGCAGCTGTCGGAGTTCCTGTGCGAGGAGTACCGCCGTGGGGACGCGCGCATCGTGCGCCTGGTCCAGGGCGCGCGCATCCACATCCTGCCCTCCATGAACCCCGACGGCTACGAGGCGGCCGCCGCCCAGGTACTGCGCCCGGGGGTCGGGGGCTGTGCAGAGACAAGGCACCTCGGGGAGACATGGCCCGGCGGTCGACCGTGTGTCCGAGCCGTGACCTTGTACTTGCCACTCAAGAGACAAAACAGCCCAGACCTAGTCCAGAGAGCGAAGATCTGCTGAAACGCAGTAGCGAAGGACGAAGCCTGGCGGGTCACGGTTAAGTGATGGGGGGACTCTGCGTCTCCGCCCCGTCCACACCTATCCAGAGCTCAGCTGTGGGTGGTGACCGTGGGGCCATCTCCGGGACAGCGCTTTGTAAACTGGAACTTCGAAACAGATGTGAAGGGATGTTGCTCAATACGCCTACGCACTGAACTTTGAGCTTTGACCCCACCAAGCACTTCCTCCTCTCCCTCCACACCCAATTCCACTTGGGGATGAAATGACCGGGAGGGGGAGGGACGTTTTTTTTACAGACCTGGTCAGGTAGGAGAGGGTGCCTGGTGGTTGCTTCATATTTTATGATGCTTCTGAATTTCCTTGTTTTTCCTCCTCTCCTGGTATAGGATTCGGCCTTTTCATTCTCTTTCGTTTTATTTCATTGGTGGGAACACACACCGGGAAACACACTCCCAGCCAGCAGTTCCGCCAAGCACAGTTAGCAACCTTGATTCCGTTCTTCAGCTGGGCAGCGGTTCTCACCCTCCTTGCCTGAGTTCTTCCCACAGTCACAGCAAGTCCGTCCCCGCAGGTGCTCATCGAACCTTTTGAGCTGCTCAGTCTTTTCAGTTTGGGGGTACATGTATAGTGGAACGGATAAGGGGAGGGGCGGTTAGTTTATGAGCTTGACGTTTAATTTCAAAGACAAATTGAAAATACCTAACTCTATGGTTCTCTTTGTGGCTATCCTCAAAATCCGATTTTTAACATATGCAGCCATGAAAGAGAACATTATGGAAACGTCCAGACCAGGTTAGTCTACAGTGGTTGCCTAGGGATAGGATGAGGACCAAGCACGAGGCTTCTTCTGAGAGTGATGAGAATGTTCTAAGATTGGAAAGGGGCGATGAATTGTACAACTCAGTCAATATTCTAATGTCTATGCACTTGCACTCTTAAGCTGAGTGAATGTTAAGGGGCATAAGTGATATCTCAGAAATTACTATAGTATATAAATTGCAAAGGCACACACACACACACATACACACACGAGTTTCTATTGTCCTCACTCTTAACCCACACCGCTAGGGTTTTGATAGGTTAAATTAAAAACCGCCCCGTTGTTCGGTTGATTAAGGTAACATCTATTTAAAGACACATGGAAATAAGTTATTCAAACATGGAATTTTGTCTAGCACTTTCATTTTCATCTTTGATTTTCTTTTCCCTCTCCAGGACCGAGATAGCTCTGGGTACCTAGTTGGCAGGAACAATGCAAATGGAGTGGACTTGAACCGGAACTTCCCTGATCTCAACACTTACTTCTACTACAATGAGAAGTACGGAGGCCCCAACCACCACCTGCCCCTTCCAGACGACTGGGAAAGTCAGGTATGAGATGAGCTTCACCTGGAGAAGCACGGTGTTTCAAGGGCTGGGAATTCATCTAGCCATCTTCACAGCAACGAAATAAGCACCAACTCAATGTCACAGCAGCTAAACTAGCACCAACTCAACTCCATGCTAATCTGTTCAGAGTAATAATAACTAGACTTGATGCCTGTTCGTATTTATCCCCTCCCCCACCATAGCACCTTCCCTGAACACTACATGTTTGCGGCTAGTGAAGGGAGTGAACGTGATGTATATACATAGTTGTGATTGCAATTAGCTTTCAATGCACCAAGGTTTTTTTAATAGCCAATTTTCAGTTGATCGTGATAATACTGTGTGGAGAATACAGCATGCAGGATGATCCATCCCTGCTTTATAGATATGGTAATGATAAGTAAACTAATTTAAATCCACACAGGTAGTAGTTAAGAACCAGAATGGAAACCTGACTCCTTAGCTAGCGCGCATTTCACTGTATTATTCTGTTAAGGACCATGGCTGCTAAGAGTAAGATTGGTGGTTTGAACTCACCAGCTGCTTTGAGGGAGGAAGGTGTGTTCACCTGTTTCTGTAAAGATTACAGCCTTGGAATGTTATGGGACAGTCTACTCCATCCTATGGAGTGGCTATGAGTGGAAATAGAGTCAACACAATGGGTTGGGGGACTTGGGGCTTCTGTGGACAGAGTTATAGGGTTCCAAAGACAAGTTGCTCTTACGTGTGACGAGCTGTATGCTCTGTGACAATTAGCTACCGAGAGTTTGGGAATCTCTAAGTCCTGCAGTGTCCTTCTTCCTTTTTCACTTGACTGTTGACTACTTCACTGTATTCGGTGATGAAACACCAGTAACAACACCTTGCAAAGTGGAAACGGCTGAGCCAAAGAGAAGGAGTGTCCAGAACACGGCTTATTCGTTGAACTCTTGCCTTTTAGTGATCTGCGTAGGGCAAAAGGTGTGCGAGGATCAAAGCTGAACACTCTGTTGTGGACATTTCACACAAATGAGTTCTTACAATGTGAGGCTTTTGTGTCTAGCTTTTTTCCACTGGTCGAACGTTCTCTTTTATGACTAGACATTTAAACTCGCATCTGGCTCTGGTGCACAGCTGTAAAGAGAACCATATGGCTCGGCATACCGATACTTTGAATTTTATCTTAGAAAAGTAAATGCAAGCTCACCCATGCTTTTCCTTATCTTTCTCACTATAAATGCCACCCCCCAAAATAAAATAAAGAACAGAAAATTGGGCAACCACAAAAGGCTAGGTAGGAAACTTAGGAAGCAGTGAGTTTGTGTTAAAGGTGTGAACACTTCATCAATGGAAGAGGAGACAGGTCGCACAGCTTGAAGAACGGATTCAATGTTGCTAATTGTACATGTAGAAACTTTGAGCCCTACCCACCCTTCCTCCTTCCACGTTTCACATCCAGTTCCATTTGGAGAGGAATTATCTCAGGAGCCCAGTCTTTTCCCAGAATTGATGGTGTGTGTGTGTGTGTGTGTGTGTGTGTGTGTGTGTGTGTGTTCTCCTCTACTAGTATAGTCATTGGGTGCCAGTGGTACAGTGGGGTAATGTTCGGCTGCCAACCGTAAGGTTTGCAGTTTGAACCTACCAACTGCTTCCCAAGAGAAAGTTAAGACTTTCTGCTCCCATGATAATTTATAGCCCCAGAAGCCTTATCTCAGTTGGTTGTGAGTCAGAATCAACTCGATGGCAGTGGGCTTAGTGTTTGGTTTGGTTAAGTATAATAGTCAGCTTTTTCGTTCTTTATTTTTGTGTTAGACTTACAGTGGGAAATAAGGAGGGAAAGATTATAAAGATATAATCCTTTGCTCTATTTATTGGAAGAACCATAGAAGTCAAAAGATTTTTAAAACTGCGGCGTGCACACATCCTCCTAAAAGGGCATCATGAGCCTGCCGGCTGCGCCACACCTTGCTTTTCAGGAGCTCTGACCTGCAAGCCCCAGAGCATATGAGTGGCTCATCCTGCTGAGGGGCTGTGTTCTGGAAATGAGACTTGGAGCACCACAATGCCCCCATTGTTTACACTGTATGAGAGGGTTCTAAACACCCAAATTGTGATTATAACAACTCAGAACTTGGGGAAAGAAAAGTAAAACAGATACAAGCCTTTATATTGAGACTTTTCCAGATATATTTCGTCCTCTGCCTGAAAGTCCTCTCCCCTTGAAAGTGAAACGCAAGACGTACGGACCTGGTGAGATCTCGGATTGCAACTGTGCTCAAAGCAAATAGCACATCAAAATAACTGAGCACTTGTTGGCATCGTCCAGCCTAAGGAATGTGCTGGTTTATTAAATTTGTTCTTCTAAGTAAAATAAGGTCATTGGACCACTCAGCATTAGGGTCCCACTCACTCATCTGTGTGGATTTTAAAATGGAACAATGCAAAGTCAGTCTCTTTCGTGACCCTGGAGGTGCAGTGGTTACGAATTGAGCTGGGTCCTCAAGGCCGGCAGTTCGAAACCACCAGCAGCGAGTCTCTGTTAGTCTGGGTAAACTAGAGCAACAAATTCATAAACATGCATATGTATATAAAAGAGAGGTTTTTATACAATAGCAATTGAATATTGAGAAAACCTCCCAGCCCAGTTCAGGTCAAGTCCATAAGTCTGATATTAGCCCATATGTCCGACACCAATCGATAAAGTCCTCTTCAGACTCACAGAACACATACAATGATGCCGAATGCAGGACAATCACAGGCCAGTGGGTATAAAGTCTTTGGATTCAGTGACGTTGTAACCATCTGTGTTGGCAGGGGTCTCCATGTGGCTCCTCCAGTTCCCAGGGCTGCATCAGGGTAGGTCCATGTGGCTTCTCCTCAGGGATGTCTCACAGGAAGTCAGTCTTGTCAGCAGAGCGTCTCCAAGGGAGTGAGTAGAGTGTCTCCCACCTCCAAGGAGAAAAATACCAGATTCTCCAGAATTCTCAGGAGAAGGCCATGCCTACACAAAGGCCTCATTGGCTATAATCCGATTAACAGACTAGACTCCACCCTTTCACTCTTAATCCTCGTAAATCCCAAATTGACATCAGATTATGTAACTACCACAGGGTCGTGATGAGCCGGCATGGACTCGATGGTACTGAGTTGAGTCGAGCATCCCTGACGGGACGATCTTCAGGGAGAGAACCAGGAAGCACTTGGCCTTGAGCTCATGGACAGGGATTCTGTCGGTACAGAACCAGGTCTTCCCTTCTCGCTCGCTCTCTCTCCGCCATCCTGAGTGTGCTGGCTTTCCGTCTTCACAATGTCGTCTCACACAACTTTCAGGATCAAGAAATTCCTGGCCAAGAAACCAAAGCAGAATCAGCCCCTTCCTCAATAGATTCGAATGAAAACTGGTGTTCAGGTCAGGTACAACTCCAAGAGAAGACGTTGAAGAAGAACCAAGCTGGGTCTGTAAGGAGCCCCCCTCCCCACCAAGGGATGACATGCAGGGCTGAATTTTCCCAAGCTCGCTAGCGGTCTGTCATGCTGGGTTTAAGACTTTCCCACCATCTGGTCAATTGAACTTGTATCAGCAAATATCTGGTTTCCTCCTCAGTTTTCATGCTTCCACATTGAGAGTTTAACAGTAAATAATGTGAGGCCATTGGTTTGGGAGGGGGAAAAAAGAGCCAGGTCCTTCCAAGGGTTCTGATGGTTTTTATGTCCAATCTCAATGGATGAGACGCAGGCCTACTTCTCCAGTCCCTTTCAGGAAAGCAAGGAATGGGCCCTTGGCCCCGATGACCCTGGTCCAGGAGGAGCTGTTATACGTTAACATCGTATCAGCCACACCTGGAGAGGAGGACTACGGACACCAGGAAATATTGACAGACTGCAACTGGTTCAAGTGGGTTTAAGGCTCTCTCTAGGAAACTGACACTCACTAAGCAATGCCACGTGTTGTAAAAGGGACGGAATTTCACCGCTTAGCCAAGACTGGCCTATATGACAGTTTGTCTAACACACGACATTTAGATGTGACCATAGGAGTGTTCTGGTTGTTTTTTTTACACAGTACAGCAGATGTGTCGGGGAAGAAGGAAGTTGAAAGGCATGACCACAAACCATCATTTCCCTGATCCAGTTAGTAGATTTGCCTACATTTCGGCAAAGTGCCCCAGGAACCATGTTGAGGTCTTGTGTCAAGTAGGCCTTTGTTTGATTCAAACGCGCTATCTCCTCTGGTCATTTTCTGACCAACGAATCCAAGTGACCATTTGGCCAGTTGCACCCTTATTGCCAAGTTCCGATCTCCTCACAGGTGGAAGTGGAGACGCGGGCTGTGATTCAGTGGCTCCGCTCCACCAACTTTGTTCTTTCTGCCAATCTCCATGGAGGGGCCGTGGTGGCCAATTACCCTTATGACAAGTCCCTGGAGCATCGCGTCCGAGGTTTCCGCCGCACTGCCAACACCCCAACGCCTGATGACAAGCTCTTCCAGCAGGTATGCAGACTAGCAGCCCGGGCCACCAGGGGGAGTATGAGTGCGATCAGGGCAACTTGAAGTTCATGAGATGAGCATGCAAGGCAGTTAAACAGGACCCTGTTAGAAAAGAGTTCACACACACACACACACAATAAGTAAAGAAAAATATGGTCTGCTCATGAAGAGCTTACAATCAAGTAAATTGTATTTTGTTTAGAGTGGTAAGCCATAACTTTATTTTAAAAGTTACTAAAAAGTAAATTGTTATAGTACTATTGCTATGATATAAAAAATGCTTAACATAAAGGCAACCACGATATGGCAATTAGCTAACAACGGTGGTGCTAAATTGGGGCATTGGGATATTTTTCTTTGCTTTAATTTAAAATTTTATGGCCACATGGCTATATTACTCTTATAACGGGAAAAAAAGGTAGACCATGAACTTAAACAGGTATAAGAGTTCCAGTGAGTCCCCAGGTGACACAAACAGTTAAGCACTTGGTTATCAATGGAAAGGTTCGTGGTTCACATTCACCAGACGTCCCTCAGAAGTAAGACTGAATGATTCATTTCCCAAAAGATGACAGACAGACAGAAAACCCTACAGAGAGCAATTCTGTTCGGAAACACAAGGAGCGAGAACTGACTCATCAGCAACTGGGGTTTGGGATTCTTCTTCTTTTTTTTTAATCGTTTTACTAGGGGCTCATACACCTCTTATCACAATCCATACATACATCAATTGTATAAAGCACATTTGTACATTCATTGCCCTCATCATTCTCAAAACATTTGCTCTCCACCTAAGCC